TTCATTCCCTCATCTTCGCAAGTTTGACTGCACTTTTTATGCGTTTTTACCGTGCAGCGCTAGAGCACCGCGCACACTGCGACAACCCTGTCTGTGCGTGTGTGTGTGTGTGCGCATGTGTATGCATAACTGTGTGTGTTCGTCTGCCCGAGTATTTCTACTCGCCAACCATGCAAGCTTTGATGCTGAAATTTTGCCAGTGTGTTTCCTGGCCAATTGCGACCTCAGGAACGTCATATAAATTGTCATGCACGTCTATGTCTCATGTACGGACACGTTAAAGCCTTCGCGGGAAAACTGTTAAGTCGAGGACGAGAAAAGTTAGAAAGCTGAAATTTTAAAAAGGGTGCCCTTATTTATGTGGAACTAAAAAATTTCAAATTTAGTTCTTCTAGTGGAGTCCTTTTCACGCACCAGCAACTTTCCGTTTGTCGGGTCACTGAAGCCGACACCTACAGCTGATATATCACATAGCTACACAATTAACTTTCTGAACTTCCAGGGCCAGTAGGTCAGAAATTCTAGCTACTGGAAGTCTGGTACAACATAAAACAGTACAAACCCCTCCCCCCCTTCCCCACCGCTGGTGGATATGCTACTGCACTTAACAGTATGTCTACTCACCTGGTCTAAATGGAAAACAGGAAAATCTTACATGTCATGCCTTACTCTAACATCAGGCGGTTCTGCTGCACTCTCGTCCTCAGTAGTTTCAATCGATGCTCTTCCGGCTACTGGCTCATCACTTACAATCAAACTTGCTGATTCCATATTCCGCTCCTGCGGTGATACCTGCGCTTTTTGGCGCCGTCCTCGCTGAAAGTGTTTGGAAATTCAAATTTTTTCACAAATTCGTAAGTATCACAATCATAAGTTCAGCTGAAATTTAAAGTTTGCTTCCCCAGTCGTGCATATGGCAAGTTGACCGGTCGCGTTGACCAATGCTGCATCGCCAGCTAGATAAGCTCTGGTGTTTAAAGGGAGGGAAAGTCTAAAGTCAAAATTCCTCTCCCATCTCCTTCTTCTCCTCTCTCCTCTCCCCCTTCCTAACAAACCATCAATCCCAATAAAAATTCACAACAAAACAAGTTGCAATTCATGATCTCCTCTGTTTCAGTTCGAACGCTATTACTATTTCTACGGGAAATATGTCTCTTATGATTGCCTCCAGCAAATGATTTCGGTTTGTGATAAACGCGAATTGCGTTTAAATTTCGTTCAAAAATTTCTCCGCGATTAATTCAACCCTTCTCCCCACATTCATACTCTCTGAGATGCGGAGGCATTCGGAAGTATTTCAAGGGTAGCAAATGTCAACAGCAAACATGAATAATAGTAAACTGAAAATATTCACAAGATCCCAAAAAATGGCAAATTACACAACACAGCACTGTATTCATGTACTCTCTGAACTTCTAAAAATTTACTTTACCAATACTTATTGATGTGGATTTTTGGTTAGTGCCCGATTTCGGCGCTTAATATAAAAGACTTCCCAGAGATTTACCCCATTCGTGCCTATCAATTCTATCCTCGGAGCAGCTCCACAGTCTAAATCTTCAGCTATGCAACTGGCAATTTCTTCTTTTGTTTAAATCAGTTTTACTCCCCTAGTAGCCCGCCT